AAGCCCTTTTCCTCCATAGATACTGTTGCTACCAGGTTTCCATGACCTTCTCTCTGAGAGAACTCACCTACTCTAGGCAACAGTTGATGCTCTTTTTTTAGCTACACTTAAATACCACCCATAAGTTCCTATTTTCAACTATATACTCCGAATATAACTCAGATCAAGTATTTTTGAGAATTCACTTCAAGCTTTTCATTTATAAATCTTCAGTCTGGATCTCCCCAAAATGAAACTATTATGCAACCAATAACTAACCTTCTACCCTATACATTTCTATGACACTTCTCACTGGCTCCTTTTGCCTTATTTCCCATTGCTTCTTTCCTGCTTTTATGTAAATATATTTTGAAATGGTTACTTCCCCTCTAAATATTTAAATAACAGGTGGCCATCACCCAAAGTTCCTGTGTTTCCTCCTATATGTAATGAGAAATGAAGGATTATCAACCACCCAGGTTAGAAATAGAACACAGAATGGACTAAAGGTAAAAATGTGGCTTTTCTGTTAAAATCAAGAATAGAGATTCATAGGAAACTCAGAAGAAATAAAACTTACAGAATAATTTAAGACCAAACTTAAACTGGTCCTGGAATCCTGAAGAACCTTTGAGGAAGCAAATTAGTTCTCCTCTTTGAAGATCCCAAAATAATCCTGGGATATTAATGGATATATGAATTATTTGAAGTGATTAAAAATTCCAGGGGAAAAAAGAAAGGTTGCTAGATGTCCACCTGCTCTCTTATATTTTCTCCAAACAGTCCTAGGTAAGAAGGCTCAGATCTCCAATCTTGCAGTTTCAAAGATCCAAACCAAATATAAGATATAAAAGCATGGCAAGAGGGAAGTTCTAACCAAGGTTCATTTTCATGTGCCTCCACAAATGGAACAAACGCTTGTGGAAAATTTTGACGGCCATTCTTTGGAATCAACAGTCTTTGGAAAGAAAGGAAGCCATAAATGATGAGGGTTAAAAATCTTACCACAAAAGGAGGAAATGCTCAAGCTCAAGGTCACAGATGGTCTGTTTGAAAGAGCAAGAAGATGTGCATGGTTATGCTAAAAAAGGATGGGCGATAGAGATCTTATGAATAAAAGCTAATCCCACTTAGACCTTGTACTTATAAAACACCTTAGACCCAAACCCTGCAGGAAGGGATGGAGGCCCTTCCCAATCCACTTCAAGCTAGGTAAAGAATAAAATATTAAAAATAAAAAGTTACAATAGCTAACACATACAGCATTTATTACATGCTAGGACTCTAAGGGCTTTATAGGTTAACTCCTTCAATTATTAAAATAACTGATGAGGTGGGTACTAATAAGATCTCCCTTTTCACAGATCCGGAAATCAAGAGACAAAGTTTCAGTGAATTTGCTTACAATCTCTCAGCTACTAAGAGGGGGGCGCTGGGATTAGAACCCAATCAACATAGCTCCCAAGTCCACAAGCATAATCACCACACTACAGTGTCTCTCAGAAAATTTAGCCTCCAACCCAGACCTGGCCCACGTTTTACATTCTCATCCCTGTCTATTCATGTACTTAATTCTTTTATTACTTATTATAAAATCTTAGGAATGTCTTATTAAGTCTATGAGAACCAAAAGCAGAACCTCCCGTACCCTCCTTTTCCACAATGTCCCTCAAGGATGCTTAAGCACAAACCACAACCAAGTGTTGGGATGGGCAGTCCCTATCCAGCATGAAACATGCCAGATGGCTTGGTGTATTTTGTTAAATGAATTGCTGTCCTGATTTAGTGAAAGGTACTTATGACAGAGAACATTAATGTTTATGGGTGGGAAAGGTGGTAGGAAATGAAATAAATAATAATCTAACTAAAAAACAAAATAAGTCTACTACTAAAACCGCACCTAAAGTTCAAAGGCCTCTCTCAAACATCACATCCTCACAGCCAGACTTCAACTTTAAAGAACCTAAGTAATATTCTATCACTGGTTGTCCTTTGGTCTCCAACTAATTCTACTTAGATGATACCTTCTACTGTAGGCATCTAGAATTTATACTCAAAGCAACTTGTGGGAGAAACATTCTTATTCGCACAAAGCACTCATTTATCTGTTAGGTCATCAGCTCAAAAGGGACACTGCAGGGACGCCTGGGTGGCAAAGTCAGTTAGGCATCTGCCTTCAGCTCAGGTCATGATCCTGGCTGGGATCGAGTCCCGCATCAGGCTCCCCCTGTTCTGTGGCGAGCCTGCTTCTCCTTCTCCCTCTGCCTGCCGCTCACCCTGCTTGTGCTCTCTTTCTCTCTCTGTCGAATAAATAAATAAAATCTTAAAAAAAAAAAAAAAAAGGGACACTACAGTGGAACTGTAAATTATTAAAAAAAGGGCTCAATGTATCATCTATCCCTTTCATGTAGTCAAGGCAAAATTAAAGCAAAATATTAATTGAAGTCTCTGAATTAAAGGCTTGAAATAAATTTCTCATTTTTCATATATTTAAATACATTATGGTTTATCTTTTTTGATAACCATTTCTGTTGAGAACAAGCAGAATCAGTTTATATTTTAATTTTAATGTGGAATAACTATTTATTTTAAGGGAAAAAGAACCACCCATCTTTCTAAGTAGTTTGTGAGGACAGGGGCCCATTTAGTTCCGCATGTTCTCCAGGTCCACAATACCCAGTGAATGTACAATGGGCCATCAATAAATAGTCCCTACTACTCAACCACATTGAACAGCAGACATAAGGTGAAATCTTACTGCTGGTCCAAAGAAATCTGAACAGACATAGATCCAAATGCTATTTTTGAGCCAAAGAAATCTAAAAGTAATAAGATCAATATGCAGCAATGAAAGCCTCAATTCAATCCATGTAACTCTAAGCATCTTACCTCATAAATTAAACTGAATGTTGCAGGTGCCTATAATTTTCAAGTTGGAGAGAGGGTGGAAGAAGACAGAAAGGGGTTAGGTTACTCAGAACCTGTAACATAATACCAAATGTTTTGTGTTTATCTCTCTGTGTGACATGTATATAATCATTTTCCACAAAAGTTCAAATTAACATTCCACCCAGTAATTTATCTCTGAAGAGAATCAAGAGATAGCCACTGAGAAAGAGAGTGAGGGAGAGAGTTTGAGAGAGAGAGAAGAGGAAAAAGAAGAGAGACAAAAAGAGCACAAGAAAAAGGAAAAAACAGATAAATAGAAACAGAGGAAGTAAAGGAGGGAAGTCGGGGGCGGGAGGAGCAGGAGGGCAGGGAAGGAAAAAAGAATAGCCACATGGAAGAGAAACAAAACAAAAATGGTTTGAAGAAAACCTTTTCTTGATGAAATCTGCAGTAAAATTCAGATTCTTACTGAAATGGAAAACTCCCATCTTAGGTGGGTGAGTGGCTGCGGTTTTGGCTGCTAAAGGGAATCATTTTTTTACTTGACAATTTCCATGCTAAATCCCACTGTCACTTTCAGTGTCATTTCACTGTCATCTTCCTACAGTAAATAAAAGAGTATAATAAATATTTCCCCCTGAGGTTTATAAACATGATCTCAATGGTACAACTGTAACAAATCATCCAGAAAATTCTTGGCAGAGTAAACCAAAGAACATATGTTTACCCAAGGTGAATGGCAGCAACTGGACTGTATGTTAACTACATTTGGTTTCAGACAGCTCATCAAATATGCTCTAAATCTGCCCAATAATTCATCCACAGTCATGCATGTTACCATAAGCCTACCAATAAAATATAAAAGCTTCACTATGAAAAATTTTCCTGCCAATTTCTACTTCTGACATAACTTGATAAAACACTCACTAATCCTTCTCTTAGAAAGACTGCATTATTTTCCACGTTAATACCACTAAACTGAAAAAAGACTTGTTAACATGTATCTACAGTACATCTTCAATGGATGTAGAGAATATATTTATCATGTCAAAATCCAACACCTTTTATTTCCCATTCAGAACTGTAGCTTCAGCAATGGCAGCATTTGTCCTATAAAGAAACAAGTTAAAAAACACTTCTTTCTATAGTAACCTGAAGCTACTTTTCTTCCTGCTTTTTACATAATGTAATTTTTTAATGAGCTGCAATTAAAGTCAGTAAAAGAATCTCATAATACCATATTCTTATGCCTTCTTTCACTTTCCATAGTATATGTCTTTCAAAATCTAGAACTCTCTTGTATATCTTTTATATGGTTTAAAAGATACATAAAACATAATAAAGGACTTATTCTCAACTGGTACATTTCCAGATCATACCACAATTCATATGTGTTGCCCTTAGCAAATTCAAAGGAATTGCCAAAGAAACCTACATATGTACAAAGTTTTTAAAAAGAAGACTAGTATCAATTAGAAATCTGTAAAACTCAGATTGTCAACATACATATCTGATCCTGAACTTCTAAAATATTCACATCCATTATCAATCACTATTTTGTATTTAAACAAATGCATATCTCATTTATACTGCTGTAGAATGTTATAAATTCTAAAGCTGATTTTGTTGTCTCCTTGAAAACAATCTGATACAGAAAAACATGCTGACTGTTACCAATAATAAAGCTAACTACAAATAATTCAAACATTCTACAATTACTCAGATTTCCAGAGACAACCTAAGTCCTAGTTTTGTAACTAGGGACTGAATACAGCTTCCATTATAGTATGTAAATGCTTTTCTGTTTCCATAGTGAATATACCTTTGTGATCTTTTTCAAGTTCTGACAGTATGCTCACAAATAAAACAAAAACTGCTCACTATATGAATCACAAATTATTCCAAATCTACTTATTATCTCAGTATTACTGATTACAATGTGAACTTTTAGCATTGGAGGGTATTTGCAGTCTGACACATCAAGGATGAGGTCCAATAGAAATATCACCAACAAAACCAAAAGCAAAAAACAAAATACTTAAGTAATCCTTGCCCTGTTTATTTTAGATAAAAAAATAAACAGAAAAGACAAAATATAAACATATTTTAATAACCAATATTTCAATGCTTACTTTCAGTAGATCCTTGGAGAAATCACCGCCCTCATTTACCCCTTGAAGGTTTGCAATGAACTCTTGGCAGGTCATCTTCTTTCCAATATTCTGGAATAGAGGCAAATAATACATCATAATGACATACATACATGGAATTCTTAAAACTGTGATTAAGCAAAGCAAGACTGATTTGGCTTTTCAAAACATGAATACACATGCCCCTATACGTGCATATATCCACACATACATATAATACAAACTTATAAGAAACAGATGGCTTATTATGCTTTCAAAACAGTCATTAAATATAAATAGCAAAATTATGCCAAACCTTTATTTTAACCTAAAAAAACATCTGAGAAATCTATGCTACATTTATATATATATAAGGTAGTTTTTAATGGAAAACATGGATAAAATGACATTTCTGGGCTGAACTCTGATAGCTATTTATTTGCTTGTTTATTTTATTTCCTACATATTGTCAAGAACTGTGAAGGATCTGAGATTTTAGCCCACTTTCAAGCTAACAAACTAGTCTACCACAATCTCACATGTTGGCAGATGAAGTAAGATTCCTGAGTCGGAGGCACAGGAATTTTTTTATAACAACAGGAGTAGCCAAAATATTAGCATTTTCTTGCTCCAGTTTCCTGAGTCCCAATTCTCACAGAACCTGAACAGGGCCAGATGACATGCACACACAGTGGGTTGTGATACAGGAAAGGAGTCCCGAGATTTGGGAATCTGAATATTTGTAATGGACAGTAAGCATGCCTATTGCTTTTGCTCTAAATAAGAAACCGACTGTTCTCATCCAAGGCTATAAGCAAACCTATCCATTGCTCTAAAGTCACTATATTTTCCAAACTGCTCACTACAGAAACAATTTTGAAAAAATAGAACAGAACAAAGGCAACCAAAGCTCTTGTTCACAAAATGTACAGAAATGCAAGAGATCCACGGAAAATTGTCTCCAAACACATTTAAGATTAAGTTTAAGAATAAGTTTAAGATTTAAGAATGAGTTTAACCAAAAAATCACATTAATAAACAAAATGAAAAAAAAGCAAACAGAAAATATACACTAACAAAAAAAGAGAAGATACAAATATGTTAGACTGAGAAAACTAATAAAACTCCTATGCCAGCCTCAGTCAACTAGTAAGAGCTGCCAGAGAGGATTCAGAGGCTCAATTTGACACCAACAGAAGTCCATCCTGAGTGCAGGAGAGGGGTGTGGAATATACATGCACCCGCATGGGATCTCTGGCAAATGTGGTCCAAGTGAATATGAAGTGTACCAACATATTAATATCCTTGTACATAATATGCATAAAATAAAATGTATATTCTGTGAGGCTATTTTTCAGAAAAGACTAAGAGTGGAGTAGGACATTAGTCTTCAAGTTGAGGAAAAATATTAAGACTTTAAAAGGGATGCAAAGCCATAGATAGTTTTGAGAGTATGTATATAAAACCTTAACTTCAAAAATACAGATCTTTTTGAGAGTATGTATATAAAACCTTAACTTCAAAAATACAGATCTGCCTGGGGACATATACACCTATGTGTCTTAAAGTAATCGCTTCCCACTCCCCCTCTCACAGCTGCTCTTCTACCTTATAACATGAAACAAATCATCCAACTGATCCTATCTAATTAGTTAGAGTGAAAGTGCTAACTGTTGTTAAAAAACCTTGCCTCTTCCATCAGCAAAGAGGGCATAGTCAGACTTCACATGACTGGATGAATGTTTTAACAATGAGAACTGACTTTGCCAATTATTTTAAGTAAGTTAAATCTGCAGCCCTAAGTTCTGATGAAAAATTTATTTAAAGCACAGAAACTTTAATAAAAAATACTTTTTCACAATATTATATTGAAAAACACAATATCTCAACCTTCCCAGTCCTTATCAAATGTATCAGATCCAAAAAGGTACATGTACCATTATGTTGGCTAACTGAACATAGTAATAAAAAAAACAAAAGGTACTTTAAGGTAAAAAGTAACAAGTATATTCAATAGTCATTTTGATATGACTTGACAAGGACTTTCTGGTTATGCTCTGAGGAGCCGAGAAAATGAATGAATAATGACTACATAACAAATTCTTTTCCAAGTCAGGCAGTTTCCAATTCTCAAAATCAAAAGATGACATGATTTAACCATCAGTTAAAAACCAAAATTTTCTTTTAACATGTGATCTGGTGAATTCAAATATTTGTAACACTATCTTTTTTAAATCAACTTTGTATTGTTCATAGCAAAAATTTCTTGAAGAATGATTTATATTTAAACATTTGCTGTATTTTATATTCATGAGATATTTTATTACAAGTAAGTATCAAATAATGAATAAAAGACTCCCAAGTATAAAAACATGTTACATGAGAAAAAAAACTATGGAAAATTAAGCAATTATGACTATTAGGAGGAAAAAAAGGTTAAATAGTTGACTTTTTTATATGGAGTGTCCGCTCACTGTTAACTTTTTACAAATACCAGCTTTACTGAAATATAATCCACGTAACATTCACCCTTTTGAATTATACAATTCAGTAATTTTTATTTATTTATTTATTTGTGAGAGAGCAAAGGCAAGCAGGGGGAGGGGTAGAGGGGGAGGGAGAGGGACAAGCAGACTCTGCGCTGAGCGCAGAACCCAACTGAGATCATGACCTGAGCTGAAATCAGGAGTCCACCATTCAACCTACTGAGCCACCCAGGTGCCCCTACAATTCAGTAATTCTTAATATACTGATAGAATTCTGCAGCCATCACCACTATCTAAATTCAGAACATTGTCATCACCCCAAAAGATACCCCATATCCATTAACAGTCAGCTCCCATATCTCTCCTCCCATTCCCAATACCCATCTCCTGGCAATCACTAATCTTTTTATTTGTATGGATTTGCCTGTGCAGGAACATTTCACATAAATGGAATCATGGCCTTTTTTTTCCCTTTTTTAAAAAAAATATTTTATTTATTTATTTGAGAGAGCGAGCACGTGTGGGGGAGGGGCATGGCCTTTTTTGACTGGCTTCTTTCATCTACCATATTTTTTTCAAGGTACATCCATATTCTAGCATGTACCAGTATTTTATTGCAAAATAATGTTCCACTGTATGAATATAACAAATTTTCCATTCAGAAGTTGATGGCTGACTGAACTGTTACCACATTTTGGTTATTATGAATAATGTTGCTATAAATATTTGTGTAAAGTTTTTGTGTAGACATGTGTTTTTATTCCTCCTATATATGTAACTCAGGAGTAGGAATGCTAGGTCGTACGGTAACTCTATGTTTAAACATCTGAAGAACTGTCAGAATTTTTTCCAAACAGACCACACCAGTTTACATCGCCACTAAAAGTGTGAGTTTCAATTTCCCCACATCCTTACCAACATTTATCTTTTTTATTTTAGCCATTTCTAGTAGATATGAATTGCCATCTTGTGGTTCTGATTTGCAATTCCCTAATGACTAATGATGTTCATCCTTTCCATGCACATATTGGCCATTTGTATATATCCTTTGAAGAAATGCCTTCTTAAACTCTTTGCCCTTTTCTTATTGAGTCATTTGTCTTTTCTTGTTCAGTTGTAGGAGTTATTTATATATTCTGGATACAAAACTCCTTATCAGCTACCTACTTTGAAAATGTTTTCTCCTATTCTGTGGGTTATCTTTTCGTGATGGTGTTGTTTGAAGCACAGAAAGTTTTGATCTCAGTGAAATCCAGTTTATGTATTTTTTTCTTTTGCTGCTTGTGTTTCTATTGTCAAATTAACAAATTATTGCCTAATCCAAGATCAGAAAGACTTATTCCTATGCTTTCAAAAAATGTTACAGTTAGCTCTTACATTCAGATATTTGATCCATATTTCAATAATTTTTGTACAGGAAAGACATACCCAAGTTCATTCTTTTCCATGTGGCTATCCCAACACCATATGTTGAAAAGGCTGTTCTTTCTCCCACTGAATAATCTTGGCATCCTTGTTGAAAATCAACTGACCATAAATGTAAGGATTTAGTACAAATTCTCAATTCTACTATATTGACCTAGACATATGACTGGATGCCGGTATAATACTCTCTTGATTCTTGTAGCTTTGTAGTAAGTTGTTTTTGCCTTTGTACTTTACTGTGGCTAAAAAATACATAGAAAAAATTTACCATCTTAACCATATTTAAGTGTAGAGTTCAGTAGTGTTAAGTATATTCACATGGCTATAAAATAGACTTTCAGAACTTTTGCATCTTGCAAATCTTAAACTCTATACCCATTAAAAAACAACTCCCCTCTTCCCCTCCCCTGAGCCTCTGGTAACAATCATTCTTTCTGTTTCTCTGAATTTGACTGCTTTAGATATTTTACATAAGTGGAATCATAGAGTACTTTCTTCTATGCACATATATGTATGTATAAATGTTATGTGTGTGTGTGTATATATAATATATATGTTTCAAGTGCACAGCTTTGTAACTTGACATCTGCATACACTACCAAATGATCACCACCACAAGTCCATTTACCACCCATCACCATACAGTTGATCTACTTTACCCGTTTCACTCACTCCCCAATCCCCTTACACTCTGGTAAGCACTACTCTGTTTTCTGTATCTATGAGTTTGTTTTGTTTGTTCATTTATTTTCTAACTTTCCAAATATGAGGGGATCACACTGTATTTGTCTTTCTGCATCTGACTTATTTTGCTTAGGATAATACACTCAAGGTCCATCCATGTTGTCTCAAATGGCAACATCTCATTCTTTTTATGGCTAATATTCCATTGTACATACACACACATACATACATACATACCACATCTTCTTTTTCCATTTGTCTACTGATGGATATTTAGCCTGTTTCCATATCTGGGTTAGGAACATAGGGATGCACGCGTATTTTTTAGTGTTTTTGTATTCTTCGAAAAAATACAGAGAAGTAGAATAGCTGAGTCATATGGTAGTTCTATTCTTAATTTCTTGAGGAATCTCCATAATGTTTTCCATAGTGGGTACACCAATTTACAATCCCAGCAGTGTGTGAGGGTTCCCTTTCTCCCACATTCTATCTGGCACT